TGCATAAAGTAAGTTCATATGTAACAAATGTTCGGCTTGCGTCTAAACGGAAGCGAGACATTGTTAAACAAGGCAACAAATGAGGAAAGGATTGTTCTAATGGAATCTGGATATGCTTCGAGATTGGAAACTGATTGGGAATTATTTAACAAAACAAGCCGGGCTCCAGAAACGCTTTGAGGTAAGGAAATATTTTTAGCCACAGACTGAAAACAGAGCACTTCACCTTTCATCTTTTTAAGTCCAAGCAAGGGTGACTTTGAAAATACCGTTTGCGAAACACTGGGATATGAAACTTTGAATCGCTGAACTGACCCGAGAAGTTGAGCCAACTTCAATACGAAATTATTTCAACGAGTTTTGTCGGACTTTCAGAATCTTTTTATTGTCGAGGGAAGGACGAAAAATTGGAAATACGAATACTAAAGTTACTTTTATTCAAGACCAGGTCGCTGAAGAAAAGAAAAACATGAAACTTCACTTCTACACTAGCTTGGCCGTGTTTTCGTTTCAGCCATAAAATTAACTTGTAAGCGGCTGTGTCCTGTCGTACGGTTTGTGCTTCAGAATGGAAAAAAAATGTTTCTAGCAATTTAATATGTCCTAAACTAGAAGTTTAGATGTTAGTGCTCGCTTTGGTATAGAGAGGGTGTTTTCTAATAAATGATTCATTCATCAAGTTTTGATGCGCGCAGAAAGTTTTGGGTTGCTCTGGGCGCAGTTACTACCATTCCACAACTTCGAAATTTCTCTTTGCGTTTCAGCCCGTAGATACTCGGTTTGCAATGAAACAATTGCTCTTTGTTTATAAAAGTATTGGTATATAGGCATTTCTACAAAGAATGCGATTCATTTTTGCACTGTTATCTAAACTTATATTTAGGGACAGGATAAGTTAAAGAAACGCTTTTTGTCGCGTAGCGCAAAAGAAACCCATTTGTGGTGGTGACTGTTCAATCTTTTGATACCATTATGCATCCTTAAAGAACTTAGGGCGGTAAATCCATATCAGTTTTAACACATTTCTTTTCAATACCAACTTGCAGTTTTGGTTTAAAAATTTATGAAGTGAGTTGTACTAGAGCTCAGTGTCGTTCATGCAGTTCACAATTGACACGCGACACGGGGCAATTGACGTATATTTGTGTAGAGGGGGATAAACCGATGAGTCTGTGCACTACGTTTATTTTTTCTTTCCCCACCCAATTATTTGTGCATTTCAACTATACAACTTCGCTCACAAATTCACATGGAATATTCGTTAGTCTTTCGGAAATTTTCTGGTACATGTGAAAATAAAGAACTTGCTGCCTTCTTTAAGTAAGCTAAAATGCTACATAAGCCCTCCACCTCCTTTCAAACGTTTTGAAATAAGAACGTGCCCCCAGGAAGCGCTGGAGAGGCTTAATATTGGGTTTGCGGCGCTGAAAGTTCTGTAGGAAAATTAGTTACCTAACGCGCGCAAGGGTTTCACGTTTAGTATGGGTAATCAAATGGTGACAACTAAACTTAGGAAATAATTTCCAGCGCGTTTTGCCAAAATTCTAATGGCCATAATACAGTGGAACTCCGTTAATACGGTCACCAGCGGGTCATGAAAATTTGGCCGTAATAACGGGGTAGGGTCAAAATTTCATCACTGGCCAAATTGAGTGAAGTATTAACAGATATATCACAAATGCATTTCAAAACAACTATTCTTTAATTAGCACCCAGAATGCAGGTATAATTTTTTTTTTAAAAAAAAGATTGAAACCGAAATCAGTACATACAATGGAAAGATGAACATAACTGGTTTGGGCGGCTGTATAAACGAGGGAAAATTATAAAGGAATGGACAGCCTGTGATTTCAGAATGTGGCCGTCTGCCGTATTAACGGGGTGGCGCATTAACCGGGTTTTCCAATAGGAAAATGACAAAACAAAGTGGCGTAATAAGGAGGTGACCGTATCAACGAGGTGTCTATAAGGCGGGGTTCTACTGTAGTATAATAAGTAAGTGAAATTATTTCTTAATTTCACTAGTATACCATTTGATTACCTTTTAATATCAAGGGTGACAAATTACGCTTTCAATTATGAGTTTCTGATGGGATTGTATTTTGTATTGCGAAATTTCGCGCCAAATGTTGCCATGGCAATTTCATTATTCCACATTTGAACTGAAATCTGGCGCCAAAATTAAGTAGTAATTTGTCACCCATGATATCAAACGTTAAAATTTGATGCGATTGCATGGATTTTTTTTCGTGCAATTTGTTATGGAACTTAGGTTAGACTCCTGCAATAGCCCAAATCGGTCTGTATGGTAGTCATGTTAATAATTACAGACATTCATTTGTACAGTCCAACGGCCGTATTCTGGGGGGGGGGGGTGCTCTCATAGATGGCCTCTGTTAAAGTGGCTAGCAACTGTTATCAGTACCTTCCAGGACTTGTAGTAACCGATTGACCAATATTACCACCCGTGCAGCTGCTGCAAAGGAAAGACAAAGGTGATGAGGATCAACGGGAAGAGTCAGGAGAAGGTTGCAGTAGATGGGTAAGATATCGGCGAAATTGAGGAGTTTAATTATCTGGGGGCTACCATTTGTAAGGAGGGAGGAGGAATGAAATTTCTATTAAATTTTTAACTTTTTAACTTTTTTTACCGTCAGAAGTTGTCCGTCCTTGCTTTATCAAACGGTTTTAAATTCATTTTTGCGGTGAGGCTTGGACTGTGAATCTTCATTGATCCTCCTGACGCAGTGGCATTCTTTGTTGGCTTGAGGCATTTTATAACCGTTTTATATATATATAGATAGATAGATAGATAGATAGATAGATAGATAGATAGATAAAGTACCTTACATAATGTGTCATGCAAAGGTGTGATGGGGTCCTTGGAACATGTCCTGGAGCAGTGATCGATGATATTGTCTCGAGAACTGGCAGCCTGCAAACAATGGACTCTGATTTCTAGTCAGCAAGGACCTATCAGTATATCCAAGACAAGCTATTCGTGAAGATTGTGGGATTTTCAACGTCATGTGGACAACTTAATCTCAGATGGTTTGTTCTATCAGGAACTTCACCTTGCTCTTTTATTTCACCAGTCAATGGTACTCTGCCAGACACGACTGTACACCAGACTATCACTGGACTTTTGCTTCAGGACAACGCAACTTACAAAGTGTCCATAAAAGCATCTGACGTGAGAGGGAAAACTTATCAACCTGTCTGCAGCAGTGCTATAGTCGTGGATACATCAAAGCCTCAAGGTGGGTGGATCCGAGATGGTTCTGGAACGGACCTGAGTTATCAAGCTTCAACACTATTGCAGGCGAACTGGGGAGGAGTGCAGACAAGACATGGTGTTGCCAAGTATCAATGGAAAGTGCTCCTTACTTTGTTTAACACCAATCAAACCACCGAACTAATGTCTTTTACCAACGTAAATCTAAAGACTAACGCAGGAAAGACCTTCAGCAGCATGACAGATGGATCTAAAGCGAGATTTGTCGTTCGTTCATTCACAAAAGCAGGCCTGTTTTCTGACCTCACAAGTGATGGAGTTGTCATTGACACCTCACCACCAGAAGCTGGGAAGATATACGACGGGAATCAACGTGGTGTAGACATCAAATATGCCAAATGGACTAATGCTTTTAGTGCAACCTGGGACCGCTTTACTGATCCACATTGTCCCATTTCAAGATACACTTGGGCGGTACAGCGGCAAGGTGCGGGACTCATTACTTCATTTAAGAACATAGCACTTAACCGCTCTCCTACAGCAACAAACCTAAATCTTGTTTCTAAAGAAAGCTACTGTGCTGTCGTCAGAAGTTATAATGAAGCTGGACTCTTCACTCAAATCAGGTCAGACTGTGTGCTAATAGACCATGATGCTCCACAAGCTGGCACCGTTAACGATGGACACTTTAGTGACGTTGACTACCAATCAGAGGACACCATGATAGCAGCGAACTGGAATGAATTCACAGACGGGAACAAAGGAAGTGGAATTGTGGAATACAAGTACATGATAGCAGACAGCAATGGAAACATAACTGTTCCTTGGACATCGGCAGGAAATGCGACGAGCATGGCACATAATGGTTTGACTTTGAAAAATAACACTATGTACTTTGTGACTGTTAAAGCAATTGATGCAGTAGGTCTGAGCATTAATGTCACTGGTGATGGCATCAAGATCACTTCAACTCACCCTGTTTTCACTGGCCGAATTACAGTAGCTGGAGAGGAAGACTTCATAAACGGAACGCCATGTGTTTACATACCAAGTGTTTCGTCAGTAACAGTGCGATGGGTTGGTTTCTCTGATGCACACAGCGGAATTCAACGATTTGACTGGCTATTCTTCCTTCTAGCCAGTCACCATCAAGCTTAGACTTCAAAACAGTCCCTGGATCCAATATGCCAACATCTGGCACATTCAGCAGCTTAGCATTAACTCAAGGTAAAGGTTACTACGTTATTATAAGAGCCTACAATGGAGTTGGATTATTTGAAGATGGTTATTCAGTCCTTGTAATACCTGATGCCACCCCTCCAACCCCTGGGGATGTGTTTGATGGACAGACGCCCGAAGTTGATATTGACTATCAGGCTGACTCGAAGCATGTTTATGGTTCTTGGACAAAGTTTCCGGAGGCTGACACAGCTATTAAATGTTACTACTATGCTGTAGGGAGCTGCTTAACAGGAAACTATCACCTAACTGAAAATCAGTTTATTCCAGTGAATCCACCAACTGCAAGATCATTTCTATTAACAAACATCTCACTGGTCAATGGCCAGCAGTATTGTATTACAGTCATGGCTGAAAACAAAGCAGGGTTGCTTAGTTTGAAAGTGTCTTCGGATGGCTTTCTCGTTGACCTGACACCTCCCAATGTACGAAAGGCGCAAGTACAGGACGGCAACACAGGTTCAGACATTGATTACCAAGCCAATAACACGGCACTATCAGCCGAATGGAGTGGCATCATAGACCCAGAGTCTGGGATACAGTCATACGAGTATGGAGTTAGCTGGTGTACCTGATGTTGTTCCCTTTCGAAACACTGGACTTAACTCTTCTGCTGCTGCAACTGGTCTATCTCTGGCTGATGACGTCTATTACTTTATTGTCTGTGCGGTGAACAATGCAAGACTACGCAAATGCATCAGCTCTGATGGTGTGCTCATTGATTTGAGTCCTCCAAGCTATGGTGTGGTGTATGATGGGATTATTGAACCGGATCTTAAGTATCAGTTCTCTTTGTCACACATAGCTGCAAACTGGGAAGGGATCTGGGACTTGGATAGCGGTGTTGAGAAATTCGAATGGAGTGTTGGAACCACTGTGCATGACAAAACCAGTGTTCTGAACTATACCGATGTTGGTCTTTCAACGCATGTGAGAAGTCAAACAGCTCTTCGTTTACTGAGTGGAACAAAATATTATGTGCATTTGAAGGTGACAAATCAGATTGGAGCAGTTAGGGAACTTGTTTCAGATGGTGTCATTGTAGATGGATCTCCACCAATACCGAGTACAATTTATCCTGGATTTGGTTCTCAAGGTGAGTGGAAATACAGCAAGCAAGAAAATGCTTTCTACTCTGCTACTACATCAAGTGTTGCAGTTTATTGGAACAGATTCTCCGAACCTGAGAGTGAAGTTTGGTACTACAAGTGGGCTATAGGTACAAGCAAATGTGGTACACAAGTTCAAGCACTCACAAACATCGGCCGATCAAACTATGCCAACACTACAATGACAGACATTATCTTCAAACCTGGTGTAAAATATTACATCACTGTAATTTCCAGGAACCGAGCTGGTCTTGTCTCAAGATCATGCTCTGATGCATTAGTCTTTGACAGCACTCCGCCTCTTCCGGGAAAAGTTCACATTGGACAACCATCAAGCAGAAATGAAGGGAAAACATTTTTAAGCAACAGCAGTGTCTCCATTTTATGGGACGAATTTAAAGATCCAGCAAGTGGAATCAAGTGGTGCAATATTTCAGTGGTTGACCAGGCTGGGAACATTTTCTTCTCTGCAATGGCAAATACCTCTTCAGGCAATATAACGGTTCCGCGCAGTATTGCATTTCGTTGTGGTGAATACAATGCCAGCGTTGAATGCGTAAACAATGCAGGTCTTACTTCTTCATCATCTTCAGTATTTGTCATCGACAACACACCACCCATTCAGAATGGTCCCATTATAGCGGGTGTATCACGTGATCACTCTTTCCAGTATCAATCAGACATAAGTTCAATTACTGCATCATGGCCCTCATTTACAGACCTTGAAAGTGGTATAGAGAAGTACTATTTTGCCATTGGTACCAAGCCTTACCAAGACGATGTCATAAGGTTTGAAAACATAGGTTTGGTCACTCGGATAACCAAGACTGGCCTTAGCCTTTCACATGGAGAAACGTATTTCATTACAATCATGGGAAAAAACCTGGCTGGATTAAACTGCAGTGTTTCCTCACTTGGTGTCATAATAGATACAACTTTGCCCCTTGCTGAGAACGACGATGTCCAAGATGGTTTACACAATAATGATGTCGACTACTTTCCCCCAAATGTTGGACTATCAGCACAATGGGTAAATGTTACAGATCCTAAAAGTGGCATTATGCATAGCGAATTCTGCCTGGGGACAAAACCACTAGGCTGTCAGATCAAACCAATGACGAGCACTGGGGCCAAAAAATCTTTTACTTGTCCAGAATGTACCGTATATGAGGGGGAGAGGGTGTATGTAACAGTCCGTGTGACCAATGGTGCAGGGCTATCTAGAACACTCACCTCTGATGGAATGCTGTTAGATGTCAGTCCTCCAGTAATGGGAGATGTTACTGATGGGAGCCACATAACTGGACTTGACTACAATGTTGTACTTGAGGACTGGAATATTTCTATGTCTTGGTTTGGTGTGGCGGACACTGAAAGTGGTGTGCGATCATGTAGTTGGACCATTGAAAACAACAGTGGAGTCATTTTGTTTCAAAAGAAAGTCACTAACAACTCCATTTACGAAGAAAGAAGTGTTTTCTCATACAACAAGACGTACAGAGATCTTCAGTTGATTAAAAACATGACTTACTTTAATGTGTTGAGTTGCTTGAATACAGCAGATATGCAAGCCACTGTCCGGTCTAATGGCTTTCAGGTGGAATCTGTTTGGCCTATTCCAGCTCATGTTCGAGATGGCTCAGTGCCAGGGATAGATCTTGTTTATCTCACTAACACGAAAAAGGTTGGTGCCAACTGGAACCCTTTTTTTGCGGACGCCAAGGATCCTATTGTAGACTATGAGATGGCTATTGGGGCAGCTGAAGGCCGAGAAGATGTTCTTCACTTTGTGAGTGTTGGCTTGAAGAGGAGTATTGAGAAAGACTTGGCCCCAGACATTCCAGCCTTTGATGTTTTGGCAAGTGGTAAAAAATATTACACAACCATAAAAGCCACCACCAAAAGTGGTCTATCGTCGATGCAACATTCTGATGGATTCATAGTAGATCCTAGCCCGCCTCTGATCGAAGACAGAAGTTTCAGTGTCGCACAAACTTGTCGATCAAGGAATGCAAACAATTGAACTAAGCGTTTCTTGGAATGGTGTTGAAGATAACGAAAGTGACATCAGTAGCAGCGGGTATTGCCTTGGTGTAACTCGTCTCACATGCAGGAGTGGCCTTGTGCAAGCAGGTGCTTCTACATTTGGCACTGTTGGCCCCTTCAGACCTGATCCATGGGCTGAATATTTTGTCACGGTTGTTGTTGTAAATGGAGCTGGTCTAAAAACGGTCATGTCATCAAAGAAATTAGTTTTTGACACGTCACCTCCACACAAGGGTACTGTAATTGATGGAATCGACCTTGATATTGATTTCACTAATTCAACGAACTTCTTTTCGGTTCAGTGGCATGGTATCGAAGATGAAGAGTCTGATGTTGCCAGTTGCTCCTGGGCGCTAATCGAACAATCAATCTCGGATGACAGATCGGTATTTGGAAATAGTACTGCAGTGTTAAGGAAAGCCGTGGAACGGGAAGGAAACCTCACTCAAGCAAATCTTAGTCTTGTCCCAGGCGCTCGCTACATCAGCGAAATCACGTGCTTCAACGGCGATGGCTTCGGTAGCACTTCTTCCTCTGATGGTGTCATTGTAGATGTTACATCACCAAATGCTGCTCTAGTTCACGATGGATCATCTCTACTAGCGGACGTTGATTATCAGTCATCAACTACTTCGGTAGAAGTAGTGTGGAATCCCTTTGAAGACCAAGAAAGTGGAATCATGGAGTACCACTGGGGCCTAGGAACCACTCCTGATGACACAGACGCGATGAACTTTACCGCAGTAGGAAAAATGACGTCAGGGAAGGCAGGAAACTTATCACTGACCCATGGTGTGAGGTATTATGTCACAGTGGAGGCTGCAAATGGCGCTGGCATGACGTCGCGTGGTTGGTCTAGTGGTTTTGTAGTTGACGTCACTCCTCCTGGATTAACTGAGGTAATTTAAAACAGTTAGCAACTTTCACCAAAGCGGAGGCATTTCTCTCCGACGCTGAGGTGAACAACTGATGTAATCAAAGGCGGTCTAAGACGCTAATTTTGTTGTAAAATCAAGGTCATTCTTACCTTGACAGAAAAGCCAGTTGTTTAGCCAGATGTTCCCTTTTGACTACTTTGCCAGGCTAGTACACTAGTACACAAAATTTGAAAAGTGAATTGTTTACGGCTAGATTTACCGTGCTGAATATATTTTGAAAAACATATCGTTTAACACTTTTTATGTAATATATCAAACGCGAGAGACCGTGTTTCATCGGGATACCCAAACACCGAGAAGAGATTTGAAAATACGACACGCAGTGGAATATTTACCACGAAATTCGAGATGTAACTTTGGATAACCGATGAAACACAGTGTCGATTGTTTGATATATCTTCTCAATCGAAACAAAAACAAAGGGGTAAACAGAGAAGTAAAATCGTCAAAATCTATGCTAATTAAGACCGGGTATCCAAACCTCCTTCACGGCTGGGATTTTCTTTGTTTTAACTTGATGAATTATTAATGAGTCTGAGAATGTTCCTACAACAGTTGACGTCAGGTTGACGATTAGAATAAAGAGTAGCTCTTAACATGAAAAAGGAAGACAAAAGACGAAAAATTGAAGAACAAAAAAAAAACGCTTCGAGCTTGGTATTCATTAGTTTGTCGGCCTGAGTAATAAAGAAGTCCTTGTTATTTATTTTCCTTCCAGTTTCATATCTGATAACATTTTGTTCGTATAACCTTTTAAAAAAACCTACTCTTGGCCTCTCGTTGATGAAAACAGGTTAAACTTCTTCAAGGCTGTCAAGGAAAGCTAAACATGGCAGGCGATCAGAGACCCACAGAGAAGCCAAAACAATAAGGCTTTTTGAAAACTTCGACTGCGGTTAAAGAATGTACTTAAGTGGACGCCTCTTGTTCTTAATGTAGGTAACAGCTGGTTCAAAACTTTGGATTGGTCCTGCAGACAGTCTGCTCGCCACCTGGAAGTCACAAGACCTGGAGAGCGGAATAGACAAAACAGAATTTTGCGTCGGAACATTGCCTGTAGGGTGCCAGATAAAATCAATCACCGAAATACTCCCAAACTCGACAGACGTGACATGCAGTGACTGCGTCTTAAGTCATTATGGGACGTACTACCTTAGTATAAGAGTAACAAATGGTGCTGGCCTTTTTACTGTAATTGCGATAAACGGAACCAAAGTCGATCTGACGGCTCCTTTCCTCAGTGATATCGTCCCACAGTTCTCCGTCATGTCGTGCAGTACAAATTGCACCCTAGTTTCAAATATCACTGGTGTCCAAGATGATGAAAGCGGTGTCAGACTTTGCAGCTTTGCGATAAGAAACAGTACTGACTTTGTGACTGATTTTATAGAAAATGGGTTGAGTGCGACTGTCATGGCCACAGGTCTACAATTGCTACCCGGACAAAGTTATTACACCGTGGTGAGATGCGAAAACAATGCTGGACTTTACACAGAGATGGTATCTTCTCCAGTCCTTGTTCACGATACGCCTCCTTCAAAGGTATGGTTAGTTCCATATAGTGTATTCAGTTAAACTTATCAAAGAAAGAAATTCCTTCCTTCCTTTGTACAAACACAAATACAGTGACCATCACAAGGGTCATTAGAGTATTCAAGTGCTATCCCCGTCTCCAACTGTCAAATGACATACTAGTCCACTCCTGGTTACCCCAGCATTCTGTAGGGTATACCTATAAATTTTCTGGTATACGTCCTCATTTGATAGTAAGGGTTTTTGAAGACAATTCACATTACAAAATACAGGTAAACGTGAATGACGTTTCAACCGCTCTTCCGTTTTTACCTTCAACATTTAACTTGAGAATGACCGAAGAGCGGTCCAAACGTCGTTTACTTTTACCTGTATTTCTTACTGACTCATTTGATAATTACAATTTATACTCTTAGCTCCAGTTACTCTAAAGATGGGTAACGCCATTCACTGGATAGGTCACTATCCATTGAACAGTGTACACCTCCAGCTGGTTTTGCTTACAAGTTCACTTGATAGCGCGTCATCCGGCGGACAGCTTTTTCCACTCTTTGAGCAAACAGGCCAGAGTGGAGTGTGACACTGAGGCTTAAAGTAACTGTTTTGGCTTCTTTAACATTTAGCAAAGTGGCACAATGTAGTGTCAGTTCACTTCTGTCTCCTTTCGAAATTACTACGCGAAATGGTCACCTTTATCAGCCTTGGCACTATAAACTTCTTTACGATTTATTCCAGTGATACGAGACTAGATTCGTCGAGTGTATTAGTCAATTCTTTTGCGTTTTCTTTTTCAAGGGCTCCGTAATTGTAAGTGAAGACCGTACGCATGACGTTTTTGGCATACATTCCAGCTGCCATCTCTTCAACAGAACACTGCGGGCTCACTGGTACGGTTTTAACGACGAAGAATCCGAGATAAGCGGTTTTCGTGTTGCTGTTGGCAAACAGCCAAACGCAACCGACGTGTTGCAGTTCCAAGAAGTTGGCCTGGTGACAAATGTTACTCTGCCTTTGACCAACATCAGCACGTTGTTTGATGGTGACATCGTTTACGTGACAGTTGAATCACGCAACGGCGCAGGCTTGGTTACTCAAAGTTCGTCACCTCCTACAAGGTTGGTTGCAGCTGACAATGAGGAGTATTTGAGAGAAGGAGATTTTTACTGTCTGAACTTTTGAGTGCCAAAACTGTTAATGAGTAGAAACTATGCTACAAATTAGTAAAGAGGTATAATCAGGTATGTCAGAAGTTTGAAAATAGTTTATCCCTTTAGTATAGGTTAAACGAACGCAATTGAATTAACTTTGCCAATGTGATTATACAACGTAGTATAAGTTGGGACTAGTAGCGGCCGATGCTTATTTTCTGCATATGGTCAGGAGACGTGTATGGAAAAACATTTTAACAATGTACGATATTTACCCGAATAAAGGCTTCTTCTTTCTGACACTGGTTTCTTTTCTACCTGCGTGCGTGTGTACTGTAAGGGTGCGAGTGTTTCTACAAAAACGATATAAGAAGCTTAGCAATCCCTTGTCTAAAACTGAATAGGTCTCTTCGCAGGGTTTCGTTCGAAATTTGAGCGGCGATAAGAAAGTCCTTGACTGCTTGCGACCACTGTATAAAACAGCAATATTGACATGAAATACAAAACATTAGTCAAGTAAAACGTCTCAAAAAGTTGATTTCGATGATAACAGGAGATAAGTGATTATTATGTGAAGTACCTAGCACTAATTAATCCCAATCTCAATGGGTTCTTGCGTGTTCCGTATTTTGTGTTGTCTCTTCCATTTACCAAAAGAACATTTACATGTTTATCAAAGGGAAATATTGCTGAATGCCCTTGGAAAGGCCTTGAAGAAAAGATCTGATACCTGTTTGAAACATGCACAATACGGTTCTCAAAGCGAAGGGATATGGGTAGGGGCGTACTCATAAATGTATGAGTCTGCGCTATACACGCACTGAAAAAGCTGCATATATTTTTTCTTTGATCCTATTTTAACACTTGAAATTTCTTATAACTAAAAAGTGATGTGTTTGACCCCCATTTGCAGAAAAGCGCTCTGAAGCTCCATGGTCTTTATACCACTTGTGACATTACTTTTCACCGCAGGATAGATATCTGATAAAAAAAAGTAAACTAAGATCTTGGAAAGCATCCGAAACTGAGCTCGATAGGAGGACTTGACTTGGAGATACAGGAAATAAACCTTCTACTTTGTCCTTTAAAATTCGAAGGAAAACTTGTTCGACATTCACCACCAATGAAACTTTCCTTTAAAATATTTTCATTTTACTGTACCTCAAAGCAGAAACACTCCCACGTCCCGACGCAGTAAAAGTCAAGTCAAAGGCCAGAAAACACACAAAAAAATGAGAGAGAAAAAGAGCGAGAACATATAACAGGAGACAAAAATCTCAAAATTTAAGCTACTGGGTCGGGAGCTCAAATCCTCCGTCCCACATTCAGGACATACTGAACATTTCACGTACACGGAAATCAAAATGATGATATCAGTTTATTTTTATGTCAAAAGAGCAACAGTATTACCTCTTGTTTTTTGTTCCCTACAATTTTAAGGTTGTGTTCAACGTGTAAATGCAACATTCCCAGGGAACATTGCCCACTGTCTCTTCAAAAACTATGCTAATTTTTCTCCACCAATTCGCACGTGTGTTTTTAGGCAAAATGTGAATATTAATTTTGGCTGTTGCAGTCCACGTTTTAATTTGATTTACGAGCTTTGTAACAAGCAATTCTACTGATTCTTTAGCTCGAAGGGAGTTCTTTCAACCAAGGAGAGTTCAAGACAGAAGAAGTTCTAACGTGGTTCCTTCTTCCTCTTCAAAGCTTACTGAACAACTTCTATCGGGTGAAGACAGCGACGATAACTTAAAACTGGAAGCAAACTGGAAATTTGACTGTGGTGGCAGTTGATATTTAAAGGTGAACAAACGCTTCTTTCTTTTTTTATGATGTTGAATCAGTAATAATATAAGGGAAGTCTAAATGATGTTCTTAACGATGCGAATTGCGAATTGAATGCAAGAGTCTGAGAAGATTTCCGTTAACACCATATTTAATTATGTGTACAATTTTGAAAGCCTCATTCTGCTCATAGTAGCTACAATACATCACTGGACAAATTTAGTTGGAAACATGCGAAAACTGCAAGTTATGATCGCCTTAAGTCACCAGTACCGCCATTTCCTCTTTCAACAATATTGGGAAATGAAAAGATACCATTAGAAGGGATTGGAAAGTTCTACATCAGTAGCGACCACTGACGGAGAGGTGCGAATGGGGCCAAATTAATATTCAAGCAAGGTTCTATCAGCTAAAATCAGACCCAAAAAATTCTAGCGGCCCGGAACGTACCACAAAATGGTCTTTTTCGCCACATTTGATAAACAAAACACCAAGAGAGTTCCAAACGGGTTTTGCATTCACCTGAGCTTTCGTTATTCATCACGTGTCTTTCATAACCTGAAGAAAGACTGCATTAATTCTTTGGAAATGGGGAGCAAAAAAATAAAGGGATCGCGAAAGAAATTATACACGTGTTTGTAAAAGAAATGAGAGAGACCAGTCCAAAAAAAAAAAACCTTTCCCAAAATTTCCCTCCCCCCCCATCCTAAAAATAATCGTTACAAATCAGTTTATAACCCCTAGAAGTCCTCAGATTTCAAAGATAATCTTGGTAACCTCCATCACATTTACATTTGAGTAACCCCGCCTGAGAAGTCTAGTGTTCTGGTAGGGCATGTGATCTTTTAAACTGCTTCCCGTCTGTCGTTGCGTTCGTGGCTGCCTTAACGTACGCGTTGGTCAGTAACGTAGCTTTAGGCTTGTTGAATACTGATTAGGTTGCAGTTACACTACCAACTGATCGGGGATCGGGGTGCATTCAACTTTACATGGCCCTGGAAGGATAAACTTCACTCTTTCGGACAATATTTGTTTGCTAAAATATTCTTCCTAGTTGTCTACCGCTAGAAAATAGATATCTGGTGGACCAAGGGTGACATTCCCACTCAGTATTATTGTTAAAATATAAATCACGAAGGGCTTTGTATTTCGTGGTCAAGCTAAAGGATCAGAAACGGCTCGCTTGTCTAATATTGGGATTTAATTTCGAAAGAGATTGAGCGGTAACGGCTCAGTGTGCCCGCTTGAGCGATTCTACGTAAATCCGCCGCGACGAGAGTACAATAAAACGTTTTCCTTCTAAACTTTGATTATTACCCGTGCATCGGATAAGCTACAACACTTAACGGACTGTTGACCTGTATTTTGAAATTAGGCTTTTGTAGGTCTTTGTAGGTACAACTCGCGTGCGAAAATGCAGATAAAAACTGGTGAAATTTTTGTTTTTTTGGCGGGAAATCGATACGAGTGCCCGCGAGCACTCAAAACCAGCGGATTTCTTCTCAGCATAAAATCCAATATGGCGGGTCTGTGGGCAACATAAAACGTCAATCAATGCAGATCGGCGAAGGTTTTCTCTCAAATAATCAGCACTTGTACTTGTTTTTGGATTTTGTACCGAACAGATTCTACATTGATGATAATTATTCTTGATTGATGTCAGTTTTTAAACAAGGCTGGTGCTCTTGATCTTGATCCTCGGTCTTCAGTTCGTTCCACGGGGAATCATCGTTCCTTTGGAAGTTGAAGGTAAATAACACAGAATATCGAAATTGAAAGTGTTGCATTTAAGGTGGCTCAAAGCAGTTTTCTGGGTTTTTTTGAGACTTACAGAGTTGGGTGCGATTTTTCAGGTTTGAAACTGTACTGTTTTGAATGGCTGTACTATTTTTTTAGGGTAACTCTGCACTGGGCAGATAATTCATGGTAGGCCACATATAATTGCCTTCCCCTTTACTCCTTAAATGCTAACCGCAAGCAAACAGTAGTAATTAAATGTTAACCGCAAGAAAACAGTAGTAAATAAATGCCAACTGCAAGTAAACACAATATTTAAATGCTAACCGCAAGCAAACGGCAGTAAATAGAAGCAAACTGCAGGGAGACTATATGGGTGGCCTACCATGAATTATATCCCCTGCACTGTGTCTTTCATCGAATTTAACATAAATTAAAGTTGCACTGTCCTGTTGCATAGCAACAAACTTGACCCACTTTTTACCAGCCAGTGACCCCATATTTTTTTATAAAAATCTTTGTATTACACACAGAAGAAGAAACAGGCAAAATGATAAAAAATTCTGTGGAGTGGATTTTTCTTAAATTAAGAAAAATGGAAATTTCCAAGTTAGAGAAATTACACTCCACAGTCTTTTTTTAATTTTGCACATGTATTCCGCTTTTGCTGTTGAATATTTTTTTGCATTAAAAAAGTGGGGTAACTGGATCAGTTTCTGGGATATTAGCTTCGTGGATAAGATATTTTAGCGCGTGTTCTACACACAAATTAAAACCTCGACTTTGCAAGATCGCCCCATGCGCACGCATGAAGGCGGTCTGCTGATTAGTAAAGCCCGCAATTCCACTCAAATAAACGCGAATAGTCCGCAAATAGTGTTTTCTTTTTCACTGTTGTCATTAGGAGTATAAGCGGTAAAAGAAGAGTACCAAGAATACCCGGAGGTGAGACCAGCCAAGTAGAAAGAACGAAGAAAACCTGAAGGGTAGTTTTTTTCCTGCTGTTTTCTAGACTGATAGCCAGCGTGATCGATCGCAACATCAACATCACAATTTTTGTATATGTTTCAACAAAGTGGTTTAAAAGGATGTTTTCCTTTGAAATTGACTGAGGGATGGATGTGTTCGAAGTTGAAAATAACTGATAACGCAAACAGTTTACTAAACTTGGTGGAAACAAAGGTTTTCAAAGTAGGCCTCGCGCCGCTATGTTTCTTTTGATTTTTGCAAACTTTAAATCTTGCGAACCCTCGGGTGATCGCATGATGCCTCAAACTGAAGCACGGGCTAGAGCCCAGGCATCTCGTGGAAATATTACTGTTTCAAGCCACCTTAAATGCTTTTAATATCTGATTCATCAAGTACATGAGTTTCTCAATAACATGAAAATTGTAAGTAACTTGAGTTGGTATTTGTACCTAGAAAAAGACTCTTAACTTAATGCCTACTAAATACAAAGGTTTTTGCGCCAGGTTTTTGTGCGGAAAAAGTAGATCTTTTCAGGGGCTATTGGAATTCACAAAGAAAAATTGGGGCAGCCATGCATTTATTCAAGATAATTAGCCTTGAATTTCAACAAAAATGCTGACATGAGCATTTTTCTGAAAAAAGAAGGAAAGGATATTTCTTTACAGGTTTCCTTACATACATACATACAGAAAAGCAAACACATTTTTTAACATCTAAAGCTGCATGGTAAATGGTACCATAAAACCATTTTTGGCATGTTGTTAATAACAAAATCGTTTAAACAGCGCTTTTAGCGTCTCTGACAATCTTCCTCTGGTACAGCTTAAATAAAGTGTACATGTAAATACCTTTTGCTCACCAGCAGAAATTAGTCACTCATTGAATAGGCTTGCCACTTCCATTTCATAACATAAAATGTAGGGGTAACCACATGTTTTTTAAAGTTAGATCTTTTTTGAAAACTTTTATGGCGCTCATTACATTTTTTCCTGTCACCTCCCCAGTAAGTAAAATATTTGCATATCTCGCACTTGTTTTGCGTGTGCACTACGCCATCTGCAGGTACATGTTTACAGTTGGATTTCAGTATAATTTTCAACAGATAATGGCTAGTTTTTCAGCTGGAAGACATTAACAGTTAGTGGTTAGTGATACAAATGTATGCTGCTATTCTGGTGTTCCTGGTATAAGAGGTTCATTAAACTTGATTTGACAATAGGAAAATAACTTTGCTGTCATTTTAGTTGTGTACTTGGTAGCATAGTTGATTGCATCAGTGGTAACCCCAGTGTGCACGTGGTGCTTAAACTATGCCTTGCGTGATGCATAGAACGTGGGCGCACAAACAAAAGTAGGCACCATCCTCAAGTTTCTGTCAAACATGAACAGACTGCAAATAGTTGAAAATACGACCACAGAGTATTTTGTGTCTTTCTTTACAAGGGTAAACCAAAAATGTTATAAATGGAGGGAAAACTGGTCACAAGGCCATTCCTGCTGCTGTTTGCCCATTTACAGCTAGCCTGCAAGATTTCCTTTGTTTAAACTTGAGTTATTAATGAATTTAAGAAGTGCGGGAGGAATTTTTTCAAGCCAGCTCGACCTTATTTAACCCATTGACACCTGGCGCTTTTTGCCAAAAATGCATTTTTTGGACATTCTCAGCCTGGATATGAGCTAAATTAGTTCCAATCTACTCAAAAAGGCATTTGCAACATGACAGCATGCCTTCTTTTCCACTAGCATCACATTTTATGACATTTTTGCTTGGGCATGGGCAGAAACCAAAATTCAAACACCATCTGACAGCCCCGTTTGGATTACCTTACCATCTAAAGATCAGAAATCAGCTGAAGTGGCTTGCAGACAACTTGGCGACCTTGGAACGAAAATTTACCAACAACTACAGCCAGTGTTCGCAATCAAAAAGATCGCTGATCATCTAAGAGTCACTGAAGAAAAGGCTTCCTTGATAAAACCAGCAATTAAAGTGTAGTATACAAAAATATTTCAGAAGTTATTTGTGTGATACAAATTATATTGGGTACACTAGCTGCCATCTCCATCAATGCGTAGAAGAACATAAACATTCTATGATCGGAAAACATTTCAGGAATGAGCATGGCTTAAGACCTGACATCTTAATTAAGAACTAACCACAAAAAGTCATTAAGGAATGCTGTGGCAAACTGGAATGTTTGATCTTTGAAATTTTGTGGATTAAGAACAAAAGACCAAAACTGAACAAGAAGGTGTATTCCATTTGCGCAAAACTTTTTGCCTGAATGCTTTCATGTCACCTTTGCTAATTATTTATTTCTGAAGTCACGTCCTTATTTCTACAAATATGCCATTTTATTTTACTCATTTGACAATAATGACATGAAGCCATCAAAAGGTCTTGTTGCTTTACCTTCATTAATTTTCTTGCATAAATGTTTTTATTAGCAATTTATATTTATGAAAAAAAGGCACCACTTCTATATACATGACAAAATGCAACTATATGGTTGTCACCTCCATAAAATAATGAGCAATCACTTAACGAGCAACCGCCTACCACTATATGAGCTGCAGATTATTTCTTTGTTGTTATTTTCAGCCCCAATATAGTGTAGGTCACTTGCCAGACAAAAGTGTAGAGCATCTGACATCCATTGTTCCATTGTTTGAACTAATTTGCATTGTACAAATTTTCTCTCACAAAAGTACATCAGAGATAAAATCAAAAAATGCTAGTAGCTTATCCGTATCCTAAACTTTGGCTGGACAAAAATGAAATAATACTCATAGTTCTCCACATTCTGGTAGAATTATGTGATCAAACTGAATTGTCTGAGAAAAAATGTTCAAAAACCTTTTTACCTTTACCTGTCATGTTTCTTATACATGTATCTTTAAGCTCCTTATGTATTTGCTCTGGAAGGATGGATATACATGTATTTCATAAGCAGTTATATTTTATGTTAGTAGCCGTGAGCACATTCACTTGATGCATTACTCTTTCCTTCAGTGTCGTTAATATTTTCCTGGATTTTTAGGCCCACGTGAAATTAAATACAAGTATGATACTTATCATGAGCTGACCCTAAAGTTACTGTAGACCTGCAAAGGCCTAGTTTGTTACACCAATTTCAAGACTTGTCATTTTATCTCAATGTTCCAAAAAAAATTATTTTAAAAACTTAAAATGTGAATGAGTTATCCAGAAAAACATTAATTTTAAAAATGAGTCAGTGAACTGCAAACTGTGATAAGCCAATTAAAATGCATCAACCCTTGAGTTGAGCAGTAACAATTTTTGTGGCAACTGATCCATCTGTGAAGTTCTATTTTGCTTCTTTTGTTTATCCCTCACGTCTTGCAATTTCTGGTACAGAAATCTTTGCTTTCGTTGTTTGTGTCTCTTAACTGATAGACTAGGTGATTTCGCACAGTCTTTGTGTTCCCACATTTGAATGCAAACGCATATCGCAAGCGAAGGTTTCCTTGATGCCCTGCTCTAGCTTCTTCTGGCCAGCTTCTTCTGGCACAAAAGTTGATTGCTGCAGAATTACCGGTGAATTTAATCACTGATATCTGATAAGGCAACTTTTTCAAATGCTCCTTTCCTCTGCTTTGAAGAGTGTTTTTCCATATTCTAGTAAAATGAACAGGTTGATGAATTACAGGTTTAGTTGTTTTTTTTAAATGTGTAATATCCGCGCTCAACTCAGCTCACTGAGTAGGCCTGTTCAAGGCTATTCCGCTATCATTCCGCATTTTTTCCTTTTCCTTCTTTACCATTTGTCTGCTGATTCAGTTTATAAGCTGCTAAATGTTTCACAGCAGACTTCACTACTTCCAATGCAAGATATAAAGATATACTGTAAATATAGACATTGCACATTCATTCCCAGGAAGCTTTACTATAGTCCGCTGGGGAGTTCTGTACAGCACCGCAAATGATCCCTGACCGCAATTGATTCTCAGACCGGAAATGATCCCTAAATTGGACGGCAAATGATCCTGAACCACAAATGATCCCGATGTGGACCGCAAATGATATCGCTGAAAAACAAGGAACAGCATGGAGTTTGGTTCCATGTTTTTATTTCTTTATTTTATTTTCATCATCCAATTGATAACTTAGAATAAATGTAAAGAAAAGATACAGACAACGTAAACAGCAATTTAAATACAGTTCTCATGATAAATAATTCCATCTCATTTTCTCTTGACAATTCTTCTGAAAAATCACAGAAACAATGAAAGCTCGTAAACGGTGAATACATTTCTCAATTGGCTCGATCTACAACAATAAAGCTTAATGCTACCATAATGAAAACATAAACAAGCTGTATACATTTGTGTTAATACCACCAGTATCGTGACATATTCATAACCTTTTCCTATAGCTACAAATTATATTTTGATCTAGAAAGTCTGCTTCTCAACCCTCCAGGCCGGTTTGCCTTTCGCATCTTCAATTTACAGCCAGAAATTCCACACTGATGATGTAAACATGTCCTGAATCTGGACAGGATCACTGATTGGTCAACTTGCATAGTTGAGCGATCTAACACTTACCTCCATTACCTGTGTTAGACATATGCAGAAAACCGAGAAACAGGATATCATTACCAACTAAAAGTAGAATGGCAGCCATAAGCCATTTTTGTGCAGGATTTCCTGACCAAAGACGTCTTGCTTCATGAACAACCTTAATGTGATACATAGGTTACACCGCTACAACACGATATCCATTAGAATTTCTTGCTACAACCTGACATCTTAATTAAGAACTAACCACAAAAAGTCATTAAGGAATGCTGTGGCAAACTGGAATGTTTGATCTTTGAAATTTTGTGGATTAAGAACAAAAGACCAAAACTGAACAAGAAGGTGTATTCCATTTGCGCAAAACTTTTTGCCTGAATGCTTTCATGTCACCTTTGCTAATTATTTATTTCTGAAGTCACGTCCTTATTTCTACAAATATGCCATTTTATTTTACTCATTTGACAATAATGACATGAAGCCATCAAAAGGTCTTGTTGCTTTACCTTCATTAATTTTCTTGCATAAATGTTTTTATTAGCAATTTATATTTATGAAAAAAAGGCACCACTTCTATATACATGACAAAATGCAACTATATGGTTGTCACCTCCATAAAATAATGAGCAATCACTTAACGAGCAACCGCCTACCACTATATGAGCTGCAGATTATTTCTTTGTTGTTATTTTCAGCCCCAATATAGTGTAGGTCACTTGCCAGACAAAAGTGTAGAGCATCTGACATCCATTGTTCCATTGTTTGAACTAATTTGCATTGTACAAATTTTCTCTCACAAAAGTACATCAGAGATAAAATCAAAAAATGCTAGTAGCTTATCCGTATCCTAAACTTTGGCTGGACAAAAATGAAATAATACTCATAGTTCTCCACATTCTGGTAGAATTATGTGATCAAACTGAATTGTCTGAGAAAAAATGTTCAAAAACCTTTTTACCTTTACCTGTCATGTTTCTTATACATGTATCTTTAAGCTCCTTATGTATTTGCTCTGGAAGGATGGATATACATGTATTTCATAAGCAGTTATATTTTATGTTAGTAGCCGTGAGCACATTCACTTGATGCATTACTCTTTCCTTCAGTGTCGTTAATATTTTCCTGGATTTTTAGGCCCACGTGAAATTAAATACAAGTATGATACTTATCATGAGCTGACCCTAAAGTTACTGTAGACCTGCAAAGGCCTAGTTTGTTACACCAATTTCAAGACTTGTCATTTTATCTCAATGTTCCAAAAAAAATTATTTTAAAAACTTAAAATGTGAATGAGTTATCCAGAAAAACATTAATTTTAAAAATGAGTCAGTGAACTGCAAACTGTGATAAGCCAATTAAAATGCATCAACCCTTGAGTTGAGCAGTAACAATTTTTGTGGCAACTGATCCATCTGTGAAGTTCTATTTTGCTTCTTTTGTTTATCCCTCACGTCTTGCAATTTCTGGTACAGAAATCTTTGCTTTCGTTGTTTGTGTCTCTTAACTGATAGACTAGGTGATTTCGCACAGTCTTTGTGTTCCCACATTTGAATGCAAACGCATATCGCAAGCGAAGGTTTCCTTGATGCCCTGCTCTAGCTTCTTCTGGCCAGCTTCTTCTGGCACAAAAGTTGATTGCTGCAGAATTACCGGTGAATTTAATCACTGATATCTGATAAGGCAACTTTTTCAAATGCTCCTTTCCTCTGCTTTGAAGAGTGTTTTTCCATATTCTAGTAAAATGAACAGGTTGATGAATTACAGGTTTAGTTGTTTTTTTTAAATGTGTAATATCCGCGCTCAACTCAGCTCACTGAGTAGGCCTGTTCAAGGCTATTCCGCTATCATTCCGCATTTTTTCCTTTTCCTTCTTTACCATTTGTCTGCTGATTCAGTTTATAAGCTGCTAAATGTTTCACAGCAGACTTCACTACTTCCAATGCAAGATATAAAGATATACTGTAAATATAGACATTGCACATTCATTCCCAGGAAGCTTTACTATAGTCCGCTGGGGAGTTCTGTACAGCACCGCAAATGATCCCTGACCGCAATTGATTCTCAGACCGGAAATGATCCCTAAATTGGACGGCAAATGATCCTGAACCACAAATGATCCCGATGTGGACCGCAAATGATATCGCTGAAAAACAAGGAACAGCATGGAGTTTGGTTCCATGTTTTTATTTCTTTATTTTATTTTCATCATCCAATTGATAACTTAGAATAAATGTAAAGAAAAGATACAGACAACGTAAACAGCAATTTAAATACAGTTCTCATGATAAATAATTCCATCTCATTTTCTCTTGACAATTCTTCTGAAAAATCACAGAAACAATGAAAGCTCGTAAACGGTGAATACATTTCTCAATTGGCTCGATCTACAACAATAAAGCTTAATGCTACCATAATGAAAACATAAACAAGCTGTATACATTTGTGTTAATACCACCAGTATCGTGACATATTCATAACCTTTTCCTATAGCTACAAATTATATTTTGATCTAGAAAGTCTGCTTCTCAACCCTCCAGGCCGGTTTGCCTTTCGCATCTTCAATTTACAGCCAGAAATTCCACACTGATGATGTAAACATGTCCTGAATCTGGACAGGATCACTGATTGGTCAACTTGCATAGTTGAGCGATCTAACACTTACCTCCATTACCTGTGTTAGACATATGCAGAAAACCGAGAAACAGGATATCATTACCAACTAAAAGTAGAATGGCAGCCATAAGCCATTTTTGTGCAGGATTTCCTGACCAAAGACGTCTTGCTTCATGAACAACCTTAATGTGATACATAGGTTACACCGCTACAACACGATATCCATTAGAATTTCTTGCTACGGACTTTAAGAATCGATAACAAGAGTACTCTGGGTATTGGAGGTTTTTTAGTTCATGTGATTAACCAAAACTGGAAACCGAACTTGAAAAGTCTCTAGCACCCAGGGTATGAACAAATGTGCAGGCAAAAAAATTAGACACTAATTGCTAAAATGAGATGTAGACTATTGAGTGACTGAACTGACTTTATTTATCTGTTCGCAATTTTCACTTTGGTTAAATTGTTGTGAGATGTTATGGTATAGGCAAAGCCGATTACAAGGAATTCCAAGCTTTTACCGTAACAGTAATCTATCGGAAGGACTATTTATCATGAGAATTATTTAACAAATAGATTCCATGTTGCCTTGCATCTGTTCAGTAATAGATCACAGATGACGTCAAAATATGCTAAGAACAAATAAGTGGCACACGAGGGGATAGCCGAGTGTGTCACTGATTTTGACATCTTCTGTGATCTATTACTGAACAGATGCACAACAACATGGAATCTATTTGTTTTATAAAATAACAAAACAAATTACTACAAATAAAGCTTTTTTATTTCCAAATCTTTCAACATAATTCGAAAGCCAGCCTTTGCCCACTTTGGTGAACATGAAAAAGCCATTTGACATAATCTATTGTCTATACAAAATGAAGCAATTTCATTGATTCCTTTGAGTAGCAAAGAATTGTTATTGGTCCAGGAAAATCGTGTCACTGTCAAACTTGACTTGAGCGTCGCTTCTTGTGGAATGAAAACTTACAGTGACAGCAGAATTGAGCCGAGAAATATACAAATCTTAAAGAAAATGCTGGAAAATTCAAGTCAGTTTCTGTCATCAGAGCAACCCTGTGAGCCAAAAAGTTTGGACGTTGCCTTGAATATTGCCAGAGTTGAAAAATACACTTGGAAAACTTGCGGTTGTGCTCAATCTGGAGGCCATTCAATTCGAGTTTTGAATGAAAGGAGCATTAGTGATGGTGGAAATTTGTGTCTGCTGTGGTTGGTGATTCTCAAATCAGTTTGAAATGGTGTGAAAGATAGCTTTTAGCTGCGATACAGTTGGCCGTGAGCTGTAGTGAGCTATGTACTTTTCTCGCTGCTGTGCCCTGAAATGGACTGGAACATTTGCATCGGAAAGCAAGGTTATGAGTTTATTTTAACTGATTTTAAGAAGTGATGTTTTGATGTGTCATTCCTGACATCAATCAGTGTTTCAACAATTATTTTGAGACTGAGAAAAGTTGAATTNTCTAGTTTTGAATGAAAGGAACGTTAATGACGGTGGAAATTTGTGTCCTCCGTGGTTGGTGATTCTCAAATCCGTTTGAAATAGTGTCGGAGATACCTTTTAGGTGCGATACAGTTGGCCGTGAGCTGTAGTGAGCTTTACTTTGCTCACTGCTGTGCCCTGAAACGGACTGGAACATTCGTATCGGAAAGCAAGGTTATGTGTTTACTTTAACTGATTTTAAGAAGTGATGTTTTGATGTGTCATTCCTGACATCAATCAGTGTTTCAACAATTATTTTGAGACTGAGAAAAGTTGAATTTTTTAAATAAATTAATCTCGCAAACATTTTGTTCATTGGGTTTGTTAAATTCGAGATAAGCCGCAATGGTTCTCGGCTTACCAAGACCAATTTTGTGCTTGGTTTAGTCTCGCTCGACTGTCACTGAGACTGCTCGAGTATTTTTTCTGAGTCATTTTCTAAGAAACGGCTTTATCTTTCTTCCTCCTGCTTGTCGTACCTGTTCAATGCCTCGGCAAGACTAGCTCTTCTCGGAAGACAATGAGAAACCAGAAACTGCAAGGGACCGCATACGAAAAACGCTGCCAACGTAGGATCTACAAGAGGTCTGACCAGCCAAAAGAAATAATGACAAACAATAGACTGCAAGGCTGATACTACGTGAAAGACGTTTCGAGACACCAATATCACAAGAACCGATAGAGCAGGGTCGCAACTGTGGACAGCTGTTTTCGTCCAAGTTCACATATACAATGCTGGCAGCTGGTCTTTCCCGTAGGGTCGGAAGATTGTGCACCCGTGAAACGCTTCACGTCTCGTCCAAATCCCTTGTCGTTGAACGAGATATGGAAACCTGTGTGCTATATAAAAATCTTTTATTGACCAAGCCTGCTTGGTCAGTATGGCTAAACATTGGCCGAAATATATTTTATACGGGAGCATTTTAGTATGGTAATTGTTTAGGTCACGTGAATAGACGTCTTGATGCATGGCAACATTTGGAGAAACTTGGAGAAGTACAAAGAGACCAGCCCCCGCCTTTCCCCCCAACCAAAGGAATTATAAAAGCACAGGCTAGCTAAAAGCACAGGCGACCAAACTTAACTAGGGTTAAGTTTGGTCGCTGAAAGTCTGCATTCAAGCCAAGTGGCCAATTAGGCCCGAGCTTAGCCCGGTTTCTGTTGCATGAAGCGACTAGGATGGGATGGGATGCCCCTGGATGGGATGCCGGTCCATCGCAGGGTACCCATTTATGCAACTGGGTGGAGAGAGGCACTGTTTGATTAAAGTGTCTTGCCCAAGAACACAACCCAGTGTCCCGGCCAAGGCTCGAACCCGGACCGCTCGATCCGAAGACGAGCGCACTAACCATGAAGCCATCGTGCCTTCCGACACTGTTCTAAGTCCATGAAGAATGATAAGCATAATGTGTCTACATAAGACTCCTCTTCTTCAAACATATTGCATTATATCCTCACTAGTGAGAATCAAATTGATGACGTCTTTCCCGCTTTTTGACGGTTTTTTGCGAAAACAGTCGGTTTGTCTATATCATAAAAAGAAAATAACATGGAGGCTTGAAGATGCGAGTTTTACTCGTGTTAAAAACAATATTTTACTCACTTGATACGCTCGTTCGTAAAATATTGTTTTTACCGCTTGGAAATAAATTCAGATCTTCATGCCGTATTCAGCTGTATGTTTCATACAGACTATACATGTATATTTTGGGAGGCTTTTGAAAATGTTGAAAGTCGGCTATTAAGCAGGAGCGTAACATTAGGAAAAAACTCGAATTACAATTATTAAAGAGCGGTATTAAAAGCCACAGTGTAAATTGTCCTTGGAGAAGTTGAGAAAAGCTATCTGATGTTTTGAAATTTAAAAAATGTAAATATAAATCTTATTTATATTTACGAAACTTAAAATACATCAAACGAGGTAAAACGTTAACATTAAGTCAGTCCAATTCCAAACTATTTAGACTGCCTTACTAATGCCTGACAACTAAAGCTCGACTCTATTTAAGGTCGTTTGATGAAGAATTTTTCCTTTCGCTCCAAATCTGGTCTAATTACCAGTATGTCGTAATAAGTAGTTTAAATTTTTTTACAGTAATGTAATGGTGACCTGACCATGGCCAGCTTTTTTGTAGCAGCAATCATTTTCCTGATTTGTTCCAGCGTTATAGGATCCTCCTCCTCCCCCGCAGGAATCAACTTCATTATCTCCACTGCTTCCACCAGAGTACCCTCCAGCGCCTCCACCACCACCTCCCGATCCATGCGCACCACCACCACCACCAAATCCTCCATAGGCATTTCCATAGGCTCTTCCACCCACTCCTCCCTGGAGAAATCCCTTACCTCCCTCTCCGCCTTCTCCCTCGGTACCACCAAAATTCGTTCCACTTCTTCCACTGGAGTAAAAGCCACCACCACCACCACCTAAAAAAAGGGAAAATAGACTCCATCCTGTATCTAATGAGGCATTATGCTTTGAAAGCACGTTTTTGATACGTTTTAGTACTATTACCGTGTTATGATCTCTTTGTAACGTTTTATACAATTGAAAAATAACGTCACTGGTTCACAGTTGAATGTACAATGGATAAAGAAGTAGAAAAGAATGTAGAATTAGTGAATCTGAACTATCTATGGTAAAATAAAGACCAATGGAGTCTGGTGTTTGTTTTTATTATTCTTTTAGAATTGTTGATCTCCACTTACCGAAAATATTTTCACTATATTTTGATTACTCGTGCTCTCCCGGTATGGCGAAGCAACTTGACGTCACACAAAAAAAATCATCATCTTGCTTTTGTGACCAACAAGTTTGATTCGGGCAAAGCCCCTCCTCCCCCCTCCACCCAACAAACTTTTACCCTTGTATTCCTTTGTTAATATTTTGACTTTGTAAAGAACTCTTCAAGTTGTTCAGTCAGTCCTGCAGTCAGGCTGCCCCATCTGCATTGCGCTTAAGAACAGAGACTTTCTCCTTTAGTGTCTTCTTTAAAGGGACGGTGCTTTCGGAATTCCACGGTATTTTACCCTAATACATGACTAGATGGATTTTAAGGAGTAAAAGTGTTTAACGTTATCTTTTAATGAGTTCAACGATAAGATTCCTGTTGAAACTGATGTTGCTTAAGTAAAATTAATGACATAATATTTTCTTACCTGAATAATATTGACCATCAGAAGTTTTTGCTCCATGTCCATTGCTCCCCCCTGACCATGACTTGTACCCAGGGTTCCCTGTTGTGCTCGTGCTGGCATCACACCCTGGATGTCTTGAGCGTACGTCTGATACACCTCCACCACCTCCAGCTATTATCAAAGGCGAGTTGCTTCCTCTCACTACAAAGGTTCCACCACCGCCACCAGAACTAATCTTATTATTGTTGATTCCTCCTTCTTGACCAACCAGTATTTGAATGATTTCTCCTTTAGATAGGCTGAAAGTTCCGATCATTCTTGCACCTCTGCCGCGATACTGAGCACTCTTATGAGCGCTATCGTACCCCCCTGCTGCTCCTACTGCTTCTATTCTGTAATCACCAGTGTACGGCACAGTCCACTGTTGAATACCGCTGGACAGTGTAACTTGACCGTCATGATCCTGACCTGTGTAGTGACTCCCAAGTGTTGTTGGACCATTTCTTCCACTCGCACCGAGATTTGTAAAGATCGCATTGAAATCTAAGTAATTAAGGGAGTAAAGTATGAAGATATGATCGATCATCACAGTTATACACACAACTTAAGCAGTTGTGAAATTAAAACCTGAAAAAAATTCAGGTCTGAACTGGTGCAGCACTCTACCAACTGAGCTATTAAGCCAACTGGGAGCTGGTCATATTGTGATCATGAGTTCGTAATATACCCGTAGATGATGAAGAATGCAAATTAACATATGAAAGATCATATAATTGAACTGCGGAGAAAGATCTGTAGATATGATTGATCATCGCAGTTATACACACTAGTTAAGCAGTTGTGAAATTAAAGCCTGAAGGCTTTAATTTCACAGGCTTTAATTTCACAACTGCTTAAGTTGTGTATGTAACTGAGATTATCAATCATATCTTCATATCTTTCTCCGAAGTTGAAATATATAATCTTTCATAGCTGCGGATCCACTCGGCTATCGCCTCGTGGATCCACAGCTACTTTGACAGTGTTATGACGAAATTCATGATTAATAACAGGACAGACGCATGAAAAACTGACGTAAATTTTTTTAAATGGTCTTAAATTGTAGAGGCTGTCGCAATAGTTAAGACAAAATATTTGCTGTACAAAAAAGTAGTGGGTATTCTTAGCTTTCAGTGGAATATATATTTAGATACTCCTAGCTCTTCATAAACGTCCTCGCAAAATGAGCCAACCAGGTATCAGCTGTACCATTAAGGTTACGACCGACCATATCCTCAAGTCTCTGAGTAACTTTAACCTGCGAACGGGCTGCTTTTCCACATTCATACTTGTACATCACGACTGTTCATTGGGGGGAGGAATTCGCGGTCTGAGGTTGACATTACAGATAATTTAAAATATATTAAAAACTGAGTCACTAGATAATGCAATTCGAGAGTAGTAGTATACAACAGAGAGTTCTGCGACCGGGACACAGGGACATAGTGACGTCACAATACCCCAGAGGTTGACGTCATCAAAAATGATGACATCATAATCTAAATATAGAATACAGAGAGTTCTGCGACCGGGACACATGG